AGCAGCTCACTACAGTTTAATTGACCTGGGGACCTGTTGTATTGCGCCAGGCACTCCCAGGCACCATCGTTTCACAGTGCCTGGAAATGTCCGACTCACTGCCACCTGGGTTAGGGAAACCTCAAACAACCCATGGCTTGCTCCAGGGTTATTTGACGGTTACCTGCCCCGCAAACAACTGTGCCATCTGGCTTCCTGGGACTCTACAAACCACAGCAGGCTGAGTGCTCATGTTGCCATGCAAAAAATTAAGCCAGAGAGAGCTGCCACATCCCGTGAACCTGCTCACTGTGATACAAAACCAGATTTTAGGTTCATCACAACCAACTCTTCTGTTACTACTCATCCTCCTTGCTTTAACGAAATGGGCACATCTGTGTTCCTTCAAGGAAACTTTAAAAAACGCAAAAAAACGTAACAATACATTTCTTTTGAAAGGGTATACCAAGAAAAAAGCAATCACCATTTTATATTGCGCTAAGAGAGCTTTGCAATCAACTCGGGATTCTCTGCCACACGACTTGAAACTAAGCTAGGCTAGCTTGTTCAAGGGAAGCTCTAATTTGATGGGTTTAATTAAATTCTCTCCCAGAGAATAAGCATGCTATGACGGAGAGCTATTAACGAGATAACCATTCCAAGGGAATACGCCCCGAGGGAACCCAGCACTGGTGACTGCACCCGCCAAGGGCAGCTGGGTTGCAAAGCGGTGACCTTTCCCGTTAAATTTACCGAAGGCTCATCTGACAGGAAGCATTACGCTCCATAATGGGCAATCTGCAATTTTAAAAGGCTGCACAAACGGTGCCTCCTGGGCAAAGATTTGAAAAATGACGGGCACGCCTCCTGCTGAGCATACTGAATGGAAACGTGTCCACCCCCAACCTAGTGTAAATGATGCCGTGTATCTCTTCACCCAGGGACGCTCCCACTGAGACTGCATAAATGCGCGGATATCCAACAGCCTGTGGGCCTTGGTGCTCATTGCACAGAAGGAGCAACATGAGAGGGCAGGGAACTCAGCAGGGGTTGGACCTGCCATGGCTTTCTGTCCTGCCTCAACAACCTCCAGGAAGAGGGAGCTTCAAGGGAAGGCTGGTTTCTCCAGCCCAAACCCCAAGTTGAGCCTCAACCATAACCCTGATGGAGGAGCTGAAATAAAGCTGTCACAATGGGGACTTCCAAAAAGTCCACTTACTGGAGATTGTTCTGCAGAACTTCCTTATTCTACGCCTCCTGAACAACTTGCAAACTTCTGCACCTCGATGTGAAGCCTGCTTTTGACAACCCTCTCCCTAAGCAGGGCCTCAGCCCAAACCCTAATAGCCGAAACCAGTAAAGAATGATAAGCTCCTCTCCATAAAGGCTGCAGTCTCAATCCTGTTTATCACCCCCTTCGTCATGGCAATAGTGAGAAATGTTAAGAACCACGTGCATTAAAGATGAAATCCAGTGTTGCTCCAAGAGACTTCTGTATTCCCCAGATGAATTACCCTCTCCTCCTCCTCCTCCTCCTCCTCCTCCTCCTCCTCCTCCTCTTCTCTGCAGTGCACTGCACTGGGGACAGGGGGATGAACAACATCTGAGCTTGCCAGGACGCTCAAATGTCATCTTGCCAGGGTCTTGTGCCCAATTCCAATGTGCCTTTGGGAACACTTCTCAACCCTACACGAACAGAGCAGCAACTGAATGGGAGTTTTGTGCAGCCTTTCCCCAGAAGCCAAAGGTGGGCTGGCCCCATCTATGAAGGGCATTTGCACCATTTAGGAAATGTGTGCAAATTGTACTGGGAATTCGGAAAAAGGGCAATTGCAAGCACGTTTGACACTTTGTGAATATTTTCAGTGGACAGATGCTCATTCTTGCATTGGGAGCTTCAAAAAGGGCTCCCACACATTTTCCAGTTTCCCTGCCTTATACCCACCACCCACAAGCTGGCCTGGAGGGTCCCCGTGTGGAATGACTGAATAGGCTGGGGGAAATCACTACCCATATCATTCCACTGAGAGTTTTTTTTTCTTTCAGCAGTAGGCATTAACTAGATACAGTTTGGCTTGTTTACACATAACAAATGCCACTCCGGGTTCAGCCTGTCTCTATAAAAAGCCAATTTCCAAACTTGTGGCTCAGTCTGTACTCCCTGCATCTCTCCTGACTTCTACAGATTCATCAGATGGCTTGAAAAGAACCCATTGCTAACATAATCATTATGATGACAAATTGTTCCTTTTGGAAAGAATGCTTTTTATTAACATTTTCCTGAAGGATGCCAGGGTGAAAGTGAATAGAAAAAGAAAACAGCAGAGCAATACAAAACCAACAAGAAGAGGTCACATCCCGTTTTCATAGCACGACCGATTGAAAGAAAGGTTAATTCTGGTGACTTATAAATAGTTTTAAGTACACGAAAATGCATTTAGTTAAGCCTGTTCAAAAAATATTCATGGATGAAGCAAGCTTAGGGTGCAACAGGTTACCAGACCATCACAGAACAGAAGCACTGGAAGGGATTAGTGGGCCACGGGTTCAACTTCCTGCTCAGTGCAGGACTCCCAGTCCAACCGTCCCTCTCAGATGGCTGTCAAGTTGCATCTTCAGTGCTTCTGCTTTGGGAGAGCCCACCAACTCCCTAGGTCATTGGTTCTACTGTTGTACTTCCATAACAGTCAGGACATTTTCCTGAGATCTTGCCAGAATCTGGCTTTCTGTCACTTGGAACCCATTATTCCATGTCCTATACTCTGGGATAACTGAGAAGAGAACCTGGCCTTCCTCATTGTGACCGCCTTTCAAGTACTTGTAGGTACATATCTTCCCCCAGTCATCTGTTCTCAAGGCTAAACATGCCCAGTTCTTTCCATCTGTCCTCACAGGGCATTGTTTTCAGTCCCTGGGTCATCCTTGTTGCTCTCCTCTGAACCCTTCCCTACTTGTCTGCAACTTTCTTAAATTGTGGCGCCCAGAACCAGACACAGTGCTGCAGATGGCACCTAACCAGTGCTGAGTAAAGGGGAACTAGGACTTCACATATTTCGGAAGTGCTACTTCTATTTATGCAGCCTAAAAGAGCATTTTCCCTTTCATCGGCCACATCACATTGCTCACTTATATTCTGCTTGTGATCAACAATTCCAAAATCCTTCTCACTTGCAGGACTGTTGAGCCAAGTATTCCCAATCTTCTAATGATGCATTTGGTTTCTTCTTTAGGAACAGAACTTAGCATTTGTCTCTACAGAATAACATTCTGTTGTTTTCAGCCCAGCTCTCCAGCCTATCAAGATCACCTTGAATCCTCTCTGTCTTCCAGGGTATTAGCGAGCCCACCCAGTTCTGTGTCAGCTGCAAACATGAGCATTGTTCCGTGCACTTCCTCGTCTAAGTCATTAACAAACATTTTGAAGAGCACTGGCCCACTGGATCTGCCTGACAGTCATTCCATCTAGCCAACTTTTAGCTAGTTTGCTAATCGGGAGATCATGTGGCACTTTGTCAAAAGCTTTGTTGAAGTCAAGATAGATTATGTCCACAGCATTCCCACAGTCCATCAGGCAGGCTGCCCAATCAGAAAATGAAATCAGATTAGTCTGGAAGAATTTGTTTTTGAGGAATCCACGTTAGCTTCTAGTAATTATTGCATTGTTTTCAAGATGTTTGCAGTCTGGCTGCATTATAATCTGCTCCAGAACCTTCCCAGAAATTGATGTCAGACTGACTGGTCTGTAGATCCCAGGTTCTTCCTTTTCCCTTTCTTGAATATAGGAACAACCTTAACCCTTCTCCAGTCATCTGGTGCTTCCCCTGTCCTCCATGATTTTTCAAAGATAGTAGAACATGGTTCTGAGAGCTTTAGTTCTTTTATGATTCCAGGACAAAGCTTATTGGGGCCTGGAGATTGGAACTCATTCAACCCAGTCAGAAGATCCTTGACCATTAATCTTGAATTCCCAATCTGCTCCTTCAGCTTGCACTTCCCGTTTTTTGGGAAGGTCAGTTTTCAGCTGATATTCCCTCCAAGCAGGCCACCCCCACTTCTTCCCCCATCTTGCCACATTTGGTTTTTGCTTTTGCAGAGGTCACCATACATTCCATGCCTCAGAACATGCTGCCATTACTAGGCTGCTTGGTAACAACAAAAAACTGACCCCTTAGGCGTTTCCCTTCTGTTTTGTTTTATTTGATACTTCTACAAATGTTTCAGTTCCCCTGAGCATTCTAGTACTTCCTCCTTATTTCTCAGTGACCCTGCTTACAAGATTAGTGACACTTAGCCAAGAGAATTCACTCTTAGAATACTCTAGAAAAAGAAATCTGTATTTCCAGCAGTATAACACTGAGCTAAGCTTTTAAACAGAACCCACTCACATGCAAAATTGTTCATGTGTGTGCTACCTCTGTGTACAAGGATTGTGTCCTTTATGTGCAGCTCATCGTTGTGAACATCATGGGCATCCCACTTCAGGAAGGCTGAACATGGGGTAAATTCCAAAGCCTGGTTTACAAGGCAGTCCAAGGTGTAGGGCTGGCTGGGTGTCGACAAAAACCTAGAAACCAAATAAGGGAGATGCACAGGCAGGGTCACAAGCCTATCCAGGGTCTAAGCCAAGCGAAGTCCAAACCACAGAGTCAGAAAGGCCAAGCCACTCTCCTTGCCTAAAGCTTATGAAGGATAGAAATTTTTCCTGGTGACTGAAGGAAGTAACTCAGTGACTGAGAAACAGAGAGGCAAACAACCGGGCCATGAAGCCTGTCTGAAGGAACGTGGTGGGGAGGAACAGATGGTTGGCTTGAAAGAAAGGGTGCTGCTTCCTCTCTCATCTTCCCAGTAGTTTTATGAGACAGGGGGTCGTAGGGCAAGTTGAAGTCAGAGAGGGGTGAACTAGTGAACTTGTAGTTATAAGCACGCAGGCGTAATAGGTTGATGAATAACAACTCACACACCCTGAATAGACAATGGGCTAATTATAATGCATGTGTGATGTATGTCGTGGGATGAGGCAGGAATTGTATGAAGTAGGTGGACGGAAAGACTGTAATCATCTAGTACCTCACCCAATGAGGGAAAAGGGGAGGACTGTGGCGGACTGAGGAGCAAAAGGAGCTACTTCGTGTGTTTGTACTTGGGAGAGATTCTGACGGAGCAGGCTCTCCCCGTCTATTGCAATGAACGAAGGAAACACCTCACTCTGTTGGTAGTCTTGGTTATTTAACTTGAGGAGAAGTATTTTCGCAACTTTTGGCATAACATGATCAAACAAGTATCAGTTATTTAGGATTCTATCAGAGGGAGACATAAGTCAAAAACAGAAGATAAATTTCAGCCGAGAAGGTCAGAATGTGTAACAGATAAGCCTGGAGCCAGCTGTTTGGACACCAGAAGTGCAGGTCAAGATAACCATGTACGAAAGTAACAGCATGTCTTCTGCATGATGTTTTTTCTACATCCGATCGTTGCAAAAAGCTAAACTTATAAAAGCGCCGTGTACGATGGCTGCGGCAGCCGATCCCAGCGGGAGATGGGCTCACTCTCTATCGCTAGTGTGCACCTGCAATCAAGCCTTTTTATACAGCTTGTCCAGCTGGTGTTGCTTGTCTCTTCCACGGTCAGACCACAGATGAGGGACCTCTCTTTTTTTCCTGCCCTCAACGTTTCTAAGCTGGAGTGCCCAGGAAGCAGCAGCAGATCATCGGGGGCCTTCTGGAAGAGGTCTTGATCATGAGGAGGGCCTTATGCATGAGGCATCTGCCTCCACAAATGGGAACTCCTGAACCAAGCCACCATCCTGGGCTACAGCTTCAGGCCTGGTATTCCTGGAGGCCCTGTGAGAGTTCACCAACACCCTGCACCTGAGCAGCTGCCTTCTCTGCTTTTCCTGCTTGTCTCTTCCTGAAGCCCCAGGACTGTCTTCAGCAGACCGGGGACATCTGAGGACTTCTGCCTTTCCCTGGCCAGAAACCCCTACAAGGGAATCATGACAGTGTGTGTGCAACCTAGATGTTGCTGGAATCCAACTCCCATTCGCCCCAGCCAGCATGGCCAACAGCCAAGGATTATGGAGGTTATAGTGCAGCATCTGGCAGTGTAAAAGTTCCCACCCTGAACTTTCCCACAATGACTGGAAGTTCAGACAGGCATCCTTTTCCAGCCTTACTTGGAGATCCAAAAGGCCTAACCCTGATCACAAATACGGAACCTGCTCGATGAACATGCAAACGTCAAGCAAACCAGGGGCAGTGGATGCAAGCCATGCGCCTCTTCCTCCATGTCTGGTGAGTGCAGAAAGCTGACGGACAGGCACTTATTTTAAAGTTATCTTGGGGAAACGGTTTTTTTTTTAAAGTCAAAGTAAAAATAGCTAAAGTAAATAAATAAAAAATAAACAAACTTTGATTTGGGCTTAGAAGTCTACTGGGAGCCTGTAACGTTCCCTTACATTCTGAGTTGAATGCTCCAAAAGGCCTGCCAAGTATTTCATGCGCGCGCACATGCATGCATGCATGCACACCCATACAAATGACCAGCTTACCAAGTAAGTTTTTCTACACTGCTTTTGCTTGGCCTCCCATATAAAAGAAGACACCGTGTTGACTTTATTTTTGCCGCACATTCTAATCCATAGCACTGGTTAGAGACTTTTAAAATCATAAGCCTTTCCTGTGTGTGTTCAGCCCTTAATAATGTGGGCATCCTTCTCCCCTTCCCTCTGTCGATCTTCCACCCCTATTGCGTGCACACAGCCAGGTCTGGTTGTCTAGGCCCAGCTCAGCCACATCGCTTAGCAAAGTCCGGCTCAATCAAAGCAGTCCTTCACGTTGCGTGTGTGCGCGTGTGTGTTTTTCTCTCTTCCCATTTGAAGCCCATGGGATTATTTTAATTCTAAATAACCATTTAAGGAGGCAAGGCTTCAAAAGCCGCTTACAAAGTGTAATGCTTTTGGAAATTACAAGAGCACTCAGCCTGCTGGCTGGCAGTCAGACGAGATACCCCTGGACAGCCATGGCCCCTTCCCCAGTGGAGCAGCACGCCTGGTGACCCCCCCACATCCCCCCCACCTCCTTCTCTGTCCTCAGAGAACGTCAAGACAATCCAGGCTGCTTCACACCAAACACTTAAAAGGCACATGACATGGAGAGGGCACAGCTGAGTGACCACTGCTCACGCCTGGCATGCAAAACCTCATCAGTTTCATTCCAGGCGTCTCCAGTCGAATCATTTCAGGAACAAAAGCTTTGAAAAAAGGCTCCTGTCTGAGAATCTGGGGAACAGAACAGAAAGCATCAAGCCTAGCAGATTGGTCATTTCACTCAATATATGTATGTCCACCTCAAATTGGCAATTATGTCTAAGTAAATATATGTGGCGCAGTGGTTCAAACTGCTGTGCTGCTGGGCCGGTTGATCAAAAGGTTGCTGGTTCGAATCTGCACAACGGGGTGAGTGCCCGGTGCTCCATCCCAGCTCCTGCCAACCTTGCAGTTCGAAAGCATGCAAATGCAAGTAGAGAAAAAGGTACCACTTCGGTGGGCAGGTAACAGCGTTCCGTGCACTTTGGTGTGTAGTCATGGCGGCCACATGACCACGGAGACTGTCTGCGGACAAACGCTGGCTCCCTCGGCTAGGAAACGGAGATGAGCACCGCCCCCGAGATTCAGGCATGACTGGACTTAATGTCAAGGGGAAACCTTTACCTTTACCTTTTTAAATATACACAGAATCAGAAGAATAATCGAAGTGCATACACAGAGGGTAAGGGACCTGGGTGAGGAGTCATTTTAATTTCACCCTAGTTCAGAGGTGGGAGAAAGACCTGGTCATTGGCACTACATTTGTGGTGTGGTGAACAGAACACAGATGTGTCCATAGGCACTGATAACAGTAGCAGTTTAATTCATATTAACTTGCCACATTTTGCACACACTGGTTGTGTTACCAAAGAGAATTTTGTTCCATATGGTCCCTATTTTATTTTGCAAGCGCAGTAAAGAGAGCAAGAGAGAGAGAAGGGAATGACTGAGCCATTCCACAGCACGTCTGTGTTTAAAAGATCCAGATTTAATTGTCAGTATCTGAGGGCAGCAACGTGTTCCTGGATTCTTTAAACTGCATGGGGTTTTCCATCCACCTCAGGCAGAAGGATTCTCAAGCACTGGCATTTCACTCTTTGTTTAAAAAGGAGCCATGGAATGGAATCGGTCGGCCGGAGGTCACTGCTATCTTTCCATAAGCATCTGTGTATTTTACAAGCGGACCTTTTAAAACTTTATTAAATGATGAGGGAAAGAGATGACTGCCAATTCCAGCCTTTCCCAGCCTGATGCCTGCTAGAGGCAATGGACTACATTTACCATGATCCTCAACCAGCACAGGCCAAGCTGCCTGGGAAGGATGTTAGGTTGTAACCTGGCACATCTGGAGTTCATGAGATTGGGGGAGGCTGCTCTAAAAGAGATGTTTGTTATGCCTAGGTCCCACCATCCCCATGTGAAGGCAGCGGGTAATTTCTAGATCCCCATTATAGCTAGCCAGGTCTCAAAGGACCTCATTTTCGGACATGCATCCAAGCCTGCTTCTTTTCTTCTTCATCATCATCATACAAAACAACTATAATGACCAGAGCAAACTAAAATAAACAAAGTTGCCCAAGCAGATTTCTTGACTAGCTACAGTCAGAGGGAGAAAGGTCTTTCCCACCAGGTCAATGTTCCCCAGCTTGCCACCTGCACAAAACTGGCCAGAGGTCACATGGAACTGCCTACCCCGCAGGGCAACAAGCAGTGCTGTTTCCAGGTTTGGGGGGCTTGGGCCACAGAGAGAGTAAGCAGAGCAAACAGAAGCCCGCCCTCCTTCTCCACACTTGTATCTCTGCCGCTTCACTGAAGTTTGCTCCCTCTGCTTTATTAGTAATTGATCTATGTAATTTGTCCATTTTTTTACTTCTGTAATATCTTGGATGTTTCCCCTCTGCTCTATTGTGAGTTATAAACCCTAAACTGAACTTTTGGCATTGGGTAACGTCATTTCAACTTACCTAGGCCAATCTCCTCCAATCTGATGTGCTCCAGATGGGCCATGGTGGCTGGGGTTGATAGAACTGTAATCTAAAACATCTGGAGAGTACTCGCTTAGGAAAAACTGGACTAGATGTCCCTATATTTCTGATAATGATGTTATCTGCTACTTTTTATTACTTTAATATGCTCTGCAGCATTGGTATTTTAAAGTAATGTATTTGAATTGTAAACTACCTTAGAAATCCATAAAGTTGGGAAGGTGGGGTGAAAAATGTTTGGCTACAATAAACAAACCACCCTTTCCACTGTGGAGCTACATATCACAAGAGGGAAGAGGAATTCCAGGTTCTGGCAGGGAGGATGAATCATCGGCTTCAACTGAAGGAAATCACTATAATCACCTGACACAAGGCTCAAAGAATCGTATTCATTCAACCCACAAGGTCTGGGTTTACTGACGTTGAAACTTTCCTTCAACTATTTTTTTTAAACCAAGGACACATTAGAGATACTGAGATTTAACAGTGCGAGTATGCAAATATTTCCTCAGAAGGAAGCCCCACTGAGGTTAATGGAATTTACACCAAAGTAGGCAGGTATGTTTGTGGCCTAAGGGTGCTCTCCTGTACGCATTGACCTTGGAGTAATTCCCATTGAATTCAGTGGCACTGCAGATGAGTAAATAGTCTCAAGATTGCACCAAGGCCCTCCCAGATGGATTGCCAACAAGCTCACATGGGATGCATTCCCCAACCTGATGCCCCCCAGATGTTTCAGGCTTTAACTGCCATGCCCGGGGATCAGGAATGCTGTGAGTCATGCCATTTGGAGGGGACCAGCTGGATTGGGAACAGCCAGTTTCTGCAGTGTTGTGATCCTGACCTGCTGCAGCACCCTTCCTCAAGTTTGTACCATCCAGAAGTGTCAGCCAGCAACTCCTGTCACCCCCAGCCAGTTGTAGTTCAGTCTGTGTGGGGGACAGAAAGCTTTCTGAAGGGCTTTACTGGCCAGCTCCGACATCTGAGCCATGACCAGAAAAGGTGGTCCTTATGGCCCCCTCGAAATTGGTATAACAGGTTCCAATCCATTTAGCCATCAACTACTGTTGGGTAGAACAGCATGGAATTTCTGTATGCTCTTACAGGGGATGGACCCACAGACAATGTATCCAGAGCATCTACATGTGGACAGCCATGGATCCCTGACTTGCTTTTTGGCAGAGGAAGAAATTTGGCCATGGCCCAACTCTGTAGCCCAAAACCATGTCGAAATCTCCTTGTCTCTCAGCAACATAAGCCAATGAAAAGCATTCACAACAGTTAACCTGGCAGAATCCAAACTTTGTTTTGTTTTGCTTCTTGTTCTGCTTCCCAGAGCCATTAAGTGAGAAAGGAAGGAAAGCAACATTTGTTAGCTGAGCTAATGACCAGCAAAGTCTCCCAAGGAAGAGAAACCAGCAAAGAGAAGCTTATAAGCCCCACGTTCCTTCCTCACCCCTGTATGCCTACAAAACCGAGCTCTAGGCTTGAGCCCTGCTCAAGAGAAATCCAAATCTGTAGCAGATCAGAGCTTCCTTCAGCTCATAGAATGAATTCCATTCCAAAAACCTCTATGGACTGTGTGCCAGCAGTGGGTGGGGCCTATGGCAAAGGGGCAGGGCTAAAAATCCCCCCGCCCCCTGAACATAAATCCAGCCTATTTTAGCTTTTATAAAATGAGGCTTTTTAACCTTTGCAAATGAAGGAAAGACTCAGCAAAACTCTGCAAAACCGGGAAATGATCAGCAGCCAGTCACACTTTGGATGTTAGTTCCACCTTTCCTTTTGTTTGTTTTTTGTTTTGTTTTGTTTTGTTTTTTTGTACATCAGCCAATTAAGCATCTATTATTGAACCACAATCAAATATGGTTACATATTCCCTGGAGCTGATGATGCTTGCAGAATTGGCTTCTTGCCTACTAGCACAGATGTTTTTTTAAAATTGGCTTTGTTTTGTAATGGTTGTTGTTATTTCTCTCTTGGTTCATTTAAAAAAAACATTGTAGGCTGACCCTGGTGCTGCATTATAAAATGATTCAGATTTATATAAAAAATCATGAACATTTTTTTGAAGACCTTAAACTGCTAAAACAGCTATCTTCTGGTCCTAGGGTGAGCACCCCAAGACCATAAGATGGCTTAGTATCCCCCCTCAAATTCCTGCAGATGCACTGTGGCCTGAACTATTATAATTCATTACATTTTTTAAACATAGAAATCTGCCTTTAGTCAGGTCATTGATCCCAGTGAGGTAAGTTGGGCTGAAGTGATGAATGGCCCAAAATCACTCAGTGAGTTCATGGCCAAATGAGGCCAAATGAGGCCTAGAATCTGGTTCTCCCGAGTCTCAGTTCTACACTGGTTCTGTTACGTAGTGAAAAGAAGGGACCGTGGCTCTAAGACATTGCAATGTCTGCCTGAGGAATGCTGGGAGCCGTGGGACCTCAGGATGACTCTCAAAAGAAAACAGCATAAAGCAGGTATTAATTGCAACACCCCATTCTTCTGGCTGTGCACCAATTTGTATCCTCAAAGCAGAACAACTTCATCAGTGTCTCAGCACAGACTCCAACACGAACTCCAAAGAGGTAAACTGAAGGTATTGCATCCAAAATGATTCCCATTCCATATGTTATCTGACCAAGATGTGCTTTGGAAGAGCAGCTTTGATAAACCAAAATGGTGCCTTGCTATGGCACCAGGACCCAACATGAGATACCCAGCTGTGGCTCTGGAAGCACACTTACTTTCACTTAGTTTTGCCAGAGGTGAGCAGGTCAGTTCCTCAGAAGAGTATTCAAAGTTGCTTCTTCCACATCTAAGCAGTACAGACTCCGAAGCCCATGAACACGCAACCAAAGGGGCAGATGAGCAGAGACTGACTGCTCAGGATGCCACACAGTGCCCCCCACAAAAGAAAATGCATGCAAACCCCTCTTTTGGAATCCGTTCACAACTTTTCATGAGCATAAATACCATACACTCCTACCCCAAGTTTTGCATACTCTGCCTTATGCATATTGTTTGATGCAGCAATCAGGATTCACAGCTGAATGGATCTCTCACTTGAAAGAAACACTAATAGCAGAACCTGCAAAAGTGCATAGCTAGTAGCAGACACCTTTATGAATTAGCCACAGTTGGAATGGATCACGGTCATCTAGTCAGGTTTGTCTTACTGCCTCAGATAATTGCTGGGTAAGATGAGGCTTGACACAATGCACAATTATTTAGAAACACACCAAGACCATTCAATTCAATGGAGCCTACTCCCAAGGAATAAGCACAGGACTGCAGCCTGAGCTTCAGAGAGCTACTTGAAACCTTCCCAAGAGTTTGGAGCAGTAGAGGTTTTGTTTAACTATTCTGTCTCCAAACAAAAGGTTAGTAAAACGAAACAACATAACACACAACATTTCAAAAGTGTTTCGCTATTCAGCCAGGGGGAGGGCTGTAGGCAACCCCCTTGCTATGCCAGACTATTTCGGTGGTTCTTTAGATCGCAACTTCTCTGTGTATGTGAGGGGTTCATAAACTGTTTCCTATTTGTCATATTGCAGTATCTGTGCCATCGACAGAAAGCATCTGTTTGCAATCCTGCTAAAAACTGGCAGAAAAGTGGCCCAACGGTTCAACTGACAGATGGTGCAGCACCTGTCTGAACGTTTCCTCCCCACACCTATGACTTCCAAGAGAGTTGTTTTCTTTCCCAGGGAAAACATAACCGCCATCTTCTTACCCGTGGTTAAGAACGTAGTTCACAGGTTACCTACCACCCTCTGGCCCAAAGTCCCCTTCTATTCCCTTCCGGGTCTTAACCTTGATTTAGTCATACGTCCTTCTGCACTGACCGGTTTCTCCCTTAATCAAGGACTGCCAACCTTCTCCAGACTCAAGTCAAGAGTGGCCACGGGTGGGCCCTGCATGACATGCGAAGCCTCCCCGTGAGTAACCGACACCATGTGAACAGTCAGCCATGCACCTGACAGACAATCATGCGCACCTTTCCCCCTCAGGCCTCCAGCCAAGATCCCACAGTCCTTTGCAGCAGAACCTGCAAACGCATGATGAGCCTGCCCTCCCAGCTGTCGATACCATGGCAACACACCGTGGCTGAAATAACTCCTAGAATAGCCCATGGGTTGCCAGGGTGGCTTTGCTGCTCAAAGAATGAGCCGCCTTGCAAAAAGGCATTCTGATTGAGGATGACATGGCAACATACCATGGCTAGTTACCCAGGACAGGTTGTTGCATCATGTCAACCAGGTCTGTGAGTTGCATTGGCCAAGATATGACACTTGACCATAGACTACAGCTGATGAGGGGAAAGAGACAGGAATCTGCCCCAAGGGGAGAAGCAAATGTGAGCCCAGCAGCCCACTCCCAAGCTCTCCTCCCAATAACTGTGGTAGGATTACAAGTGCAGCAGGCCTTGAAATACCGGGAACTCTGCTGGCCCACTGAAGTAGTCCAGTCTAGGAAGAATGGATACACAGGACGGAACAGACTGCTTACCACTTGTGAATCACTGTGGAAGACGGTGCATTGTTTTCACCCAGTTGACTGGAAGATGTAGCCCCTCCCCAAATTCAGGTATGCCAGTTCTGATGTAACAGGAATAAAAAGTCAGGTGGCATTGAATCTCTGAAATAAGTTGTATGACCCCAGGCTGAACATGCTTGCTACTTCTCTCTGGGCAAAATGTTTGACTCCTGTTATTTGCTTAATGGCATCTCCCTTGGCTGACTGGAGAAATACAATGCTTTGCTCCATGCAGTACGAGGAAGAAAACAACACTGTTTAGGTATCCTGTATACCAGGAGAACAAAAATACAGAACATAGCGTGTTTTGTTCTTGAGCATAAAATTACACTCTTAATTGCATTCTCAGCATCTGGAGTAGCAGCCTTATTAGGAGAAAAGGAGTTATATCTTGCTCTTTGGAGATAATCATTAACAATTATTGGGTAACCCCATTGTTTGGTGTTTTTCCAAATGGCCGTCTAGCAGACACTGAAGAACTGATCAAGTGATCATGCTTAACAAGCAAAAATGACAGCTTTCAAGCCACAGCATGGTGGTGATTTGTTCAATTAATATTATTCTTAACTCCTCTTAGATAGTTCGGTTTTCAGCCAAAGTTCTGAATTGTATTGGAAGGTGAGGCAAAAATACAGGGATCCCTTAACGTAAAACATGCAGTGAAAAAAGAGATACCTACCCCAAAGGGCCCCTGATGCTTCCTGATGCTTCCCACATTTCTGTTAACAGGGGCCACCTCTCAGGACTTAGAGAAAGGAGAAGAGAAGGATCTCTCTTCAGAGAAATGCCACTGCTCCGTCTCAGTGGTACCCACAAAGCTGCTTGCGACAAGGCCAGGAGCAGCAACCTGGAACACTGCTGAAAGGATGCTCAGCCCGCTCCTCTCAGCTGAGCAGTGCAGAAGGGAAACACGCGTAGGGTTAGTCCCCACACACTTTCCCATTTAAGTGAAGAGCTGCCACTCACCAGCCCAGAGGGGCTGTAGCTGAGGGACAGAACACATATTTTGCATGCAGGAGATCTTAGGATCACTTCATGGCATCGGAGTTAAAAGGGCCAGAGCCAACGTGGCGCCACAGTTAGTGCTGGACAGGAATCTGGGAGATCTGATTTCTATTCTCCACTTGGTCCTGGACTTTGGGCAAGTCACTGATTCCCAGTGGGGAGGAAGAGGACTGTGGAAGCTGTTTCGGGTCCCTTGCAAAAGCAAAAAGGTGGAATGTAAGTGCACAGATGAGAAGGCAGGGGAACACCTGGACTGAACACTGCCTACAACTCTACAGAGATGTTCCAGCCGGCACAGAAGTCCAGCCAGGTCAGGCAGGTGAGCAGCCCAACCTGGTACGTGGGGGCTTCCTCTCCTCCAAAACAGGCCACCAAGGCCACTGCCGCGGATCTCAGATTACCCCATGCATAGGCTGGCCTGGAAAAGGCCAAGTCAACACTCACAATATTCATTGCGGTACTTATTCTATTTATATCCCATGCTTTTCTTTCAAGGAACTCAAAGCAGCTTACGTCATTTCCCTATTCCTCTCCAGGTCATCCTCACAACCGCAGCCCTGCAAGGTAGGTTGGGCTGAGTGTCTGCAACTGAGTGGCCCAAAGTCACCCAGTGCAAAGCCGCTCCACGTCTGAATGGGGACTAAAGCCTAGTTCTCCTGAGTCCCAGTCCCACACTCTGACCCACCGTACACAATACTCCATGCACTTGCTAAGGAAAACTCATCCTTCTGCTGGCACAGACAGCAACACACACCCCTTGCCGGAAATATTTCTTCGTGACGGCTATGTTGTCCTGGCCTCGGCCTGAGTAGATCTGATGGGCTGAACTTCTTTCAACTCAGGAGCTGAATTCCACTGCAGAACAGTTCTCGGGGCTGCATTCCAGGGGCTGAAAGCAGGCCCAAAGGGCAAAGGCTGAGAGACCCAAGGTAATGGTGCATTGCCACTTAGAACTCTTACTGGCCCAAACTAAGCTTTAGGAGAGGGACCACAACTTTTTAAAGTGCGATGAGGGGCACACACAAAATCAAGGGAATTTGTAGGTAGATAAACAGATGCCCTCCTTCCCCTCCCTGATGGGCGATTCCAATAGCTTTGAAGAAGATGTGGAGCAGTCTGAGAAAGGTTCTGTGCCCTCAGAGCTCTGAGGAAGTGGAAACATACCAAAGTGTGTGTGTTTCTGACACAGGCAGTTTCAGGCAAGTGGAACTAGTAGTTCTCCCCTAGCCTGGCTTTCTTCCAGCTCTCATTTATTCTGTCCCCCCCGCCCCCCGGCTCTATCTCCGCACGCACACTCTCCCAGTACATTCATGCCCATCTCTCTGATTAAGCAAAGTCCACTTTCCACAGCTGCTGGTCTTGCTGAGAAGACCTCCCTTCATCAGGACTAGTCATTCTGCAGCTGCTGGACTCTTGGGGGTGGGGGGTGTCCTTCTTAAATTCAAACCAGGCTCCAAGAGCGTCAAGTTTCCAGTTGCTCAGCATTTGTCACCACTTCTCCACACTCATGCCGTGGCTTTTGTTCTCACCCATTCCTGCATGCTTGGGATGTCTATGAACAGCTTTGGGAAGGGAACGCAAGAGCAATGCTTTTAACCTGTACATTATGACAAAATCACAATTGTCATATAAAGCCACAATTGTCATTCTGGGGGAAGCCCTTAAAAAGGGCTTGTTTGGAATACTGATGGCCAACAAACTCAGCAGGTTAAAATGTATACATACTTTGAAGGCTTTTTTTCACTGTTTCATAGAATCTATTGAGACTAAAGTGGATTGTGTGTCTAATGGAATTTGTAAAGATAGGTACCCTCATTGGGATAAACAGGTGATTCCTGCTCTAAAAATAACACCTGGGGTGTTTTTTTTCCAATGTTCCACTGATTTTGTTTCCAAGAACTCCCCTGTTTTGCTGCCGTGCAGACTCTGAAAGCTACAGAGCTGACCACCGGCCTCACTGCCTGTTCAAGCCGAAGTCTGAGTTTGAGCTACAGAACCAAGCCCAAATTTCACAGTAGACATTTTAGGAAGTGGAATGTAAAAATCTGAGATTTTTCTTCTTCTCACACCTCCTGCAAAAAAGTCCACTTTGCAGAATTCTCCTGAATATCCATCACCTCTTTTTGAGGTGGATGCCCTTCTCCACCTCTCCTGGAAAAGCTTGGGGTCTGCAGCATGGCAGGGAAAGCAAAACAGCACTGCTTCAGCCGGCAAAGCAAAACACAACAAACCAAACCTCAGCCAAGTTCAGAGGAGCCACCCAAGCCATCAGTGATTTATTGGGGGGGCAAATCACGGGGATACTTCCCACCATCAGTTTCACACCCTCAGCCTGCGGGCTTCCAAGAGAGGCCTCACTGGGCTTTTATCAGTGTGCATAAATCAGCATTCCAAAAAAGCTATTTTTAGGGCTTGAGGAGATGTCAGGGGAGGCACGGAGCACCTGCCGCTAGGTGAGCCCTGGCAGCATCTCTGGAAACTCAGTCTGCGACATGATGTCATCCACTCCGCGTGCTGGTCCACCACCTTGGCCGGCAGCCAATGACGGGAGGCCAGGGTGGAGTCCGGGTGCATCGCAAGCCGCCTTATGCCAGGCAAGGCTATTCTCTCCACCACGGGCTGCTGAGGGTGCCCCTCCTGACAGGTCTGCCACGGGTGCCCTCCCAGCATTCACATCATCTGGCATCTAGTGCCGTAGTGGAGCCAGGGCTCACAGGGTCGAAGTGCCGGGACTTTCTGATTAGTAGGGAAGATGACATCATCTCCTCCGTCCCCCCTTCATCCTGTTCCCTCTCAGCTTAGCTGCAAACTACACAGTCGCTGGGGGAAATGAGTTTTCCTACCAACAGTATATTGCTCTCTATTGAAATGCAAAGTATTTTGGGGTAGCTTTCATCTCGAATGGGTAATGAAGACACATTATCTTTACAAAAGACCTATGGAAGACATATAATACAGAGAGAGAGAGAGGAGAAAGCCAGATCGGAACAGCTGCCTGCTTCTCTGGGCTCCCCCTGGGTGAGGTGAGGGGGCCGCCCAATGAGCACCTGCATGTCAGCATGTCAGCGTTCACCACTGCCACACAGTCTTTTTCACTGGAGGTGCCCAAGGTCAGGCCCGAGGCCATTCTGCACGCAGGACACACAGTCCCTGCGTGAAGGCAAGCACACAAGGCAAGGCACACAACCGTGATGAGGACACACTGCTTTGGTCAAGAGATAAAGTGCCATTTGCATCACCACTCCAAGATGTCAGTCACCCCGGCTGGTCCCCAGCCAGATCGATATGGGCAGGACAGCAGCTGGGCTCAGGGCAGGGGCGGTGGAGGGGTGGAGAGGCCAACGGCCAGCCCGAGCGTGGCACAGCAGCCTCTTGGCCCCTTGTTCACTGACCTCTCCTGTAGCTATAATTATTCCACGTTGCACAATACACAGTGGGGAAATCATACATCCAGAACCATTTTTAAGGACAATCCTCTGCAAGTCAGACAGAGTAAAGGTCTATAATGATGCTGCCTAGGGAATCCCAGGCGTTCTAGGCCTTTTTACAGTCTAACCTTGCACAGGACTGGCCCTTTTACCTACCTCCGCCCCACGGTATGAGGGTAGCAGCCTATACCATGGGGGATCAAGGAGGCCCCGCCAGGAAAGGCAGGGCGCTGCCTGCTGGGCCTCTCACTATGCAGGACCCAATTGTGCAAGCAGAACCTCCCATGGGCCGATCTCCTCTTTACCCCCATTCCAGCTGGCCACAGCTGCATCATTTCACTGTCATGACACAGCCCCCAGTCTCTCCAGGACAGAGGCTTGGCGATCCAGGAGGAAAGCCACCCCGGGGGTGGGGGGGCACTCCTCTGAGACCCAGGAGTCTTCCCCCTCCCCACCTCGGCCCTCCCACACCGAAGCCTGTCCAAATGGCAAAAATACAGGGAATCTGTTTGAGGTAGGAAAGACAGCAAATGCAGGAACTCCATGCATTTCACTGCAGTTCCAACCCACCAAGCCAAGCAGTCAGGCAGGGTAGCCACATTATAAATCTTTTCCTCCCCTACCCCCAATTCATGAACCGTAGAGAATGGACATGAAATTGCAGAGAGAGCAAACCACATGCCCGGGGTCCTTGTCGATCCTACTTCCCCATCAACCTTCAAATGACATCCAAGCGCATCTTTCTTCCCCCGCCCACCCCGCCTCAATCCCACGGAAACCCCCCACCCCATAGAATGGGCATCTGTAGCCAGTAAGGCTGCCAGAGGTGCCTATTACTGCACGCACGGCGAGGCTGCGCGATTCAGGCAGAAGCTTTGCCACCACGGCCAAGATGAATGGGGGGTCACCTCCTCCACCGCCCACCCAACAAGACTTTTCCAACTGGAGCGTCAGTCCTAGAACGGAAGATTGCGGGCCATATTTTCAAATGCGTTCGCGCAGAGTAACCCCAAGGGAGACTTGCTCGGCTGCAAGACGCAACTGAACATGGGGGTGGGGGCGTATTTCCAACTATGGTTGCAACCCTAAGCACGGCTTCCATGGGAATGATACGCCTCCTCTGAATACTGTGGGCCGATTTCCAAACAAGCCCCGCGGGCTACAAGGCGGGCAGTCAGGCACTTCTCCCGAGCAGCGAGCCCGATTGAAGCCAGGGATCTTCCTTCGGAGGAAAGCCGCTAGGCTCGGGCCAGGAAGCCGGCCGGCCGGCCGGCCGCCTCCTGGGAGCAGGAACCAGGCGCGAAGTGGCAGGGGGAGCATCCGGCTGCGTCGAGCCCACCGGAGAAGCCCCCGGAATCCACGCGCGGCGGCGCCGCCGCTGCTGCTCGCGGGGGAAGGAGGGCGAGCGCGCCTTCAGCAGCCCCCACTCCGGCGGCGAGGGGCGGCGCGGAGAGCGGCCACAACTGAGCTGGGAGGCCCGGGGTGCCCGCAAGCCTGCTCCCCGCGGGCGGGCGGGCGGCGACCGGCCCGGGAGCTGCCGGGCGCCCGTGTCACTTACCCGCGCGACGTGGCCGGCCAGCAGCAGGAGCAGCAAGCGCGGCAGCAGCGCAGCCCGGCCGCGGGGCCTCGCGGGCGGCAGCGCAGGCATCGTCTCCAGCCTGGGGCAGGGAGGGCGGATCGGGGCGCCCACCGCGGCCGCTGCAGCGCCCGTCGGGATTCCGCCGGGACCGGGAGGGGGCGGCAGGAAGGAGGCGCGGGCCGGGCGACGTTCCTTTGTTCCCGGCGCGCCCACAAGCCCCGGGCTGCAGGAGCAGGAGGAGGAGGAGGGTGCGCGCCGGAGCCCCCCGCGCGCGGCTCGCGACGCCTCTCTCGGCGGGAGAGATGCGGTGCGCAAGAGGGCGGAGGCCAGGCCGGGGCTGCGGGCAGCGCGAGCTCCCCTGTCCGTCCGGGCGGCCGCGGCGCCTCCTCCCCGCCTCCAGCCCGCTCCACCCCGCCGGCGCCGGAGTGCGACGATCAGAGCGCGCTCGGCTTCTTCCCCCGGGCAGGAAACGTGCGCTCCTGATCCTCTTCCATTCGCTCAATGGCTGCGAGGAGGAGGAGGAGGAGGAGGAGGGCGAGAGGCGCCTGGGAGCCGGAGAGGGAGGAAGAGCCTACGCCGCCCTCTAGCGTCTGCGAGGATAAGAAGGGATGCGCTTTGCCAGTATGCACACAGGTGCGTGGATCGGGACCCGAGAGGGGAGCGGCTCCTCGGGTCCCAGGGACGCCCCAGCGCCCGCTCCAGAGCAGCGAGCGGGCAGAGGTGCAGAGGGGAATGTCCGCTCGGCCCCGTGTGCACCAAAACATGAGGAGCGCCGCACCCTCGGACCGAGAATTCATCTAATTCTGTTCACACTACGGCCCATCTGCTGTTCACAGGACACAGTGGAGCAAGACAAGACAGCAACAGCGCCCTGCCACCCATGTTCCCCAGCTACTGGAATAAATATGCATCCTGCCTTTGATAGCAGGGGTGGCATATTTCCATCAGGACAAGCAGCCACTAAATAGCCTCTCCTTCCAGCCATTTGCCCTACCCTCACTTTAAAGTCACCTGAAATGGTGACCTTCACTACATCTTGAGAGCCAATTCTGCAGCTGGCTTTGCTGTGCAAAGAAGCCCTTCTTCTCTGCCCTGAACCTCCCACCCATCAGCTGGCTAAGATGCCATTCTGGTACTGTGAAACATGGAGAATAAAATTGCCACTTTCTCCACACCCTGCACAATGTTGTGTATCTCCATCATGTCTTCCTACCATTGTCTTCCAGACATTCACCCTTTTTCTTTGCTCCTGTTCATCCCTATTCTCCTGCAGACTACTACTGCCCAAATGCATGGATCAATATTCAGAAAGAGGCATAAAATATACCTGTTAAACCCCTCAGCCCAAGGGAGTTCTGAACAAATGAGAACAAAGAGCAAAAGCTGGTGACAGTGTTCATGAAAAGGCAGAATCACTGACAGACAGGTCCCCCTTGTGGGTGTCTGCCCAAAGAAGCCCACACCTGGAGGTGGCATCGCATGAGACAAAAAGAAAGGGCCATGGATGAAAACAGGGACACCTTCAGGGATCATGTGGCTCATTTTCTGAAAGACTAGACAGAAAGGCCACTGAAAAAGGTTCAAGGAGGGAGGAAACCCACAGCAAATGATCCTAGGCAAGTTTGTGGATACAGTCTCTCCACCACTCCCTCCCTTTCTGACAGTGACCTGATGGTGGCATCCAGTTTGGGAAGGAGGAACCCACAGAAACAGCCTGAGATTTCTTCTCTGCCTCCTCACGTTGGCCAGTTAGAAAACCTCATAGTTGGGTCCACGGTGGAAGCTGAAGTCCAAAAGCATTTATTCCCAGACAGGCTCGTGCAGAGGACCTGGCTGCCTGTTCAGCCGGTACCAGACAGGCGCCTGGAGGGGGCCAAGGCCTTTCTCCTCCTGGTAGCTGTGAGGTGCAACGGCTCGTGAGGGGCCTGGCACACTGACAGGAGTGCCCTGGCCCTGCTTCTGCTGAGAGCTACCCGGTGGCATGATGGCTAATGGCGTCTGCAGCAGAGGCGTGGAGTCCACCGGGATCTCCTCCCAGACAGTCTCCTGAAGTGGGCCCAGTTGCTTCCCCCCTTGACAGCAGGCAGACCCTGTGGCCTTCGATGGCGCCTGCACCACTCGGGAGGTGGGCAGTGGCCGCTGGTACAAGCCGGTCTCGTACCGAGGATAGATCGGCCTCTCGTTTTTCTGGGAGCTGGCCGGTGGAATGCCCACTAACGGAGTCTCAACCCAGAGGAAGGGGGAGGCCGACACCGACTCCTCCCAGTTTGGTTCATGAAGAGGTCCAGGGTCTAAAGCCTTCGCCTTCTGCTGGTGGTCAGGTGCGATGGCCACTGCTGGCATCTGCTCTTGGTGGGGGGAAAGTGAGGGCCGCTGATCCAAGGCAGGTTTAGGGAGAACATCTGTTTGTGCCCCCCACCCCTTCTGGCAGCTGCATGGTGGAGTCACCACTGGCAGACTCGGCTCTGCAGGGGAAGAGTCCAAGGCTGGTCGCTCCCACTGAAGTTCATGCAGAGGGCTTAGCTGTTTGTCCATCCACTGCTGACACCTGTTCCGTGCAGCAGCTGCTGACTGGCCCTGTGCTGGCTTGGAGGGATCCGCAGCCGGTTGTTCCCAGGCAGCCTCATGGAGAGCGCCAGGTCCTCTGCTTACCATCGCTGGAGAACCATGAGATGGGGCAGACACCGATGGAAGGCATTCTGGGGCAGAGGGCCCCAGGGGTGGCTCTTCCCAATGAGGCTCGTGGAGGGGGCTGAGTACTTTCTTCATCCCCTTCTGATCACTCCCGGAGGAAGCAAACTGGAGGCAGGGGAGGGTCCTGCTCTGGCAGGGAGCAACCCGGTGGTACTCAGCTTAGTGCCATCACGCCAGGCTCGGGAGAAGAGCCTGCCTCTCCCTCCCTCGTCAACAACTGCACTGGGGTGCCAGCAGTTTTCTTGCTGTCCTTGGTCATTGTTGCATGGGGAGATGCATCACCACGGGCGACGGAGGCATCTTGGGCAGCTCTTGGTTATGATGCAACATGTAGGGCAACTTGGAGCCATATGACTTGGGTGCTTGTGAGCCTCGATGTTCTCCATTTCCCCAGCACGCCGTGTTCCTATTTCTGGTAACTATTGCTTTGTGTGGGGGGCTCTGAAGCTACCTGTGGTGGCAAGTAGCTGAGAGATGCTTGCAATCAACGATTGTGGATGCAGAAGTAATGGGCGTGTGGCATGGTCTCCCACTGTGCGATGCAAGATGGATGAGCGCGCGGTGCTCCTCTTCAAATCACTCATACGTGCAAGCCCTCTTTGCACATGAGGCATGCGCATGGCGCGCCTGTGGAGAAGCAGGGCTCCTGGGAGCAGGCGTCCAAGCTAGCCCACGCCCAGTGTGTGCACTTTGAGCAGAGACATCTCCAGAAAGGATGCCCAGTGCATAAGCAAGTGCTTGTTCACAGGGGTTCCTTCGCAGCTTTCCATGCTCAGCACAGTGACATAAGAACGTGCAGCTAGCCCAAAGCTGGGGATGCCCTCGCCCAGGTTCACCCAATGAGTGTACAACGCATGAGCAATGCACAATTCCAGCTCTCAGGTTTGGCTTTCCCTGCCTCATGCTTTCCAGATATGTTGGACAACAGTTCCCATCAGCCCCTGCCAACATGGCCAGTGAGTGGGGAGGATGGGAGAGGGTACAGTCCAAAACATATAGCAGTCCCAAGGTTGGGGAAAGGCTGCTGGAGGGGTGTTGGCGTTGCATAGCTTGTGCATAGTTTATGAGCTGCATCTCCAGAAGAAACCTGTCCATTATCTCACATGCTTATTGGAAGCCTTCCTCCAGATTCTCCCCATTCTAGAGATTAAATGGATTGGCATCAGACACAGGGCCTGTTCAGCTGTGGCATCCCAACTGGCGACTCTGTCCTCCCAGCCGTAGTTGCTGGGCAGCGTTGCTATTGTCACCTTTCAGATGCCCAGAAATGTGGAGATTTAGCAATGCAAATGGGATCCAAGGGTATCATCCCTTGTTGGTATCAGACACCCACAGCAAACCCCTTCAGTTTCCTATTCCCTCTCTTAGAAGGCACTGGTGATGCTGTTCGTGCTTCGTTCTGCTCATCAAGTTAACAGCCATCTTCATTCTTGCTGTTACGCTTCAAAAAAAATCCACTGCCTTATGTACAGTGCTGAACATAACTTTAAATGCTTAAATTACAGAAATAAGTTACAATCTAATACATGTGATACAAAAAGGAGGGGTGGTGGAGGAAAGAAGAAAACCAGCAAATTCAGGGCTCAGGTATGTTCATTCTTTTAAAAGATCAGATGGAAAGGCCACTGGTGAAGTCGGTTCTGGGCAGGAGGAGACAGCCAGCCAGGTTCAAGGAGAAGGCATCTCTGCCTCTCCCTCCCCTTCTAACAGCTGCCCAGCAGAAAGGCCATTGAGAAGAGTCCACGACCATCATTCATACGGAGGTCCTGGATCCCTCCCCGCTACCTCCAGACCTTTGCCAGGTAGTGTTCCATGACATCCACTTCAGGCAGGACAAGCCCAAAGACAGTGGGCCTCAGGCTCTGGACAGGGCCTGTGGAACAGCTCTGATGCGGAACGGCCCTTGACCGTGTCTGTCGTGACTGGGAGAAGCCAAGCCCACAGAGAATCTCACTGACTCTTGGCCTCGTTGTAGTAAATGCTAGGTTGAATGTGATCAGATCGAGTCTGCTGTGGCGGGGCGGCACCCAATGGGGACTGGCCCAAGAGAGGCTTCCGGCAGCTGTCAGAGATGGCAGTGGCCATTGATTGGCTCTGCTGTGGCTGGGAGGAGCCAGGCACATAGAGAAGCTCTGGCTGCCTCTTCACTCCACTGTAGTAAGTGTTCCGCTGAAAGGGTTTGGGTGGCGTCTGCAGTGGAAAGGAGCAGTACCTTGGTGATGGATCGAAGAGAGCCTTCTGGTATTTGCCAGGTACAGCAGTGGCCCCTGACCTGGTCTGTCCTAGTTGGGAAGAATCAGGTGCATAGAGAAGGTCTGGCTGTCTCTCGGTATCTTTCTGGCAGCTGCCGGATGAAATGTCCAATGGGGATGGAACCTGTTGTAGGAGGTAGGATACGAACGGCAGCTGGCACCAGACAGGTTCGTGGAGGGGGCCTAGATTTCCCCTTCCTTTCCAACCACTGCTACACGCTGTGGCCTCTGGTGGGTTCTGCTCTGGACCAAATGGCTCTTGGCCCATGCTGGGCTCATAGAGCTGGCTGAACTGGTCCTCCTCCATCTTCTGATAGCTGCCAAATTCAGTGGGTTCTGGTGGGGCCTGCAGGAGGAAGGAGGAGCTGAGTGAAGGCTGGTCCCAGACAGGTTCATGAAGTGGGCCAAGTGGTCTCTTCATCCCCTTCTTAGAACTCCTAGAAGGTGCAGCGGTTTTTGATGGACTCTGTTCTGGAAAGCAGGAAACAAATGGCTGCCGGCCCAAGCCAGGACAATGCAGATGGCCCTGCTGTCTGTC